GGTAGTCCTAGATGCAATCGCAAGCTTTCCTGAATCTAGACAGTTCGATAGCCTTGCCACCTAATCGTACTGAAATGTCTAGACCTTCCAATCCTGACAAATATTAACCCATAGCATTTAATTTAAATTGCTTTCGCAACCACGCATAATGTATTTAGCCTTTGACTTTACAACTATCGGAAACCAGCCATAAATCTATTTTTGCAACATTCTGCAATGTATTGTGTTTGTCACTCTTGTTACTTATTCGTACCGCCCAGCACGTTTTGTCGGATCACAGGATATCCGTAAGCATTCGTATCGAGGGAACCAATTGAGGTGATTGACATGAAGAACTAAGATCCAGTTTCTGATTACCATACAAGTAGCGGGGGATCGAGTACACGCTGAATAATAATGTTCCGAAGACCGTTAACTAGTGGTATTTGACCTGTCCCTCAACACATTTTAAGCATGCGAGACTGAACAAATCCGGACACGTCGGTTATTAGAGATTCAAATTCTTTCAGTAAGTTCATTATTACACAGAATTACTAAGTTACGAAATGTAATCACTCCGTGGCGAAACATAGGTTATTTCGTATGGATCGTTGTAGTCCGAGTCTTTCTATAAACCTATCGAGCTACATATCAAATAACCACGGACAGGGAAGATACAACAACGGGGAAATTCGCTGTTCAGGGTGGGCTGACGACCGACGGCAAGAGCCGTATCCAGCGTGTGCTTCGAAAGGAAGGTAACGATGCCGAGGTCGATGAAGTGGGAGCCGACGATGTGCAGAGAGCCTTGATGTATCTAGCTCCAGTCAGTATCGGGACATCGCCGGATGATCCTGAAGTTAAATATTAATACCGGTTCATCAGGTAGCCCTCGTCTCCTTTTGATCAAAGTTCCGAAGTCCATGAGGAAGGTTTGAGGATAAACTTCACACGTTTGCACACTAAACCACTCGGTAGCTCTGGTCGGCAAGAATCTAGATGCTGACTGTAGATGACTGTATGATATCAGTAATAGTGCTGAGTGCTGGTATCCTCTATATATCAAGTGGTAATATACTAATACTGCCCAAGATACAGACTTAAACCACTCATATAAAACAGCCTCGAAATCTCCGTAATAATGACCATCATCAATTTTTACCTTAAATTCTATTATTCATTCTGCCTGTCCTACCTTCCTATCTTTCTTACTACCTAATATCTACGCTCATATTATTCACCGTTTCGCTATCTTATAATGAACCTTCTACTTCTGCTCCTAAGTTTTATTTGCTCCTTCTAGCTAGTTGTTTGCTGGGGAGATCTAGGGCACCGCACGGTCGCCTACCTTGCTTAGAAATACCTTACTAATGAGGTAGCACAGCTTATCGATGTTCTCCTGCCTAGTAGTGACAGGGAGGATATCTCAGATGCGGTAGTTTGGGCTGACGCAATAAGGCCCGACTTTCTATTTACTAGGCCGTGGCATTTTATTAGTATATTGTAGCAATCACTTCACGACTAATACTAAAAACTAATCTTGATAGATGTCTTGGACTATCTACCCGAGTCGTGCTAGGTTTCCTTTACGTTAGATTGTGGTAGTGCCGGATGTATAGTATCCGCTATTCAAAACATAGTATATTGACCCGACCGCTACTTATATCTAGCCTGTTGAGCTAACTAAGTCGTAGACAAACCGGCTTAACAATGATAAGTTAGACAAGGATGAGCAAGCCGTAGCGCTGAAGTTTCTCCTTCATTTTCTTGGTGATATATATTAACCGTTATATACGGAAGCTCTAGATCGCGGAGGAAACGAGATCTATATATGCTTCGACAGTCGGTGTGGTAGAGAGGAGAACCTCCTATAGTATCTCGGATACAGACATTCCTTATAAAATTAACGGCTTAAAGTATAATCTAAAATATAACGAGGAAAAAGAGCCGGCTGTATAATAGGCAGCAAGCCTTTTTCAGGCAAACAGGTTCAGGCCTCGTTATACAGAGTGTTCAGACATTCAGAATCCCTTGGAGTATACTATGCTATAGGCAAGGGAGACGAACAGACTGAATTGTGATTACGTCCTGAAAAATGGCGTTAACTGGCTCGAAGACAATAACCTTGGTGGTGACTATTACGTTAGCTCGGCTCCTATTGTGAATAAACAGATCTACAAAGCTGGAGTCCGCTTAGCTACTTAGCTGAATGCTTTGGTAGTATAAAGGTTATCGATAAGGAAACTTGTCAAACAAGGCGGAAAAGTAAGAGGATGTTTTGAGCTCTGAATATCGGTTACATCAGGTCTGTAGAATTAGGACGTAAGGGTGAAACCGCTTTATCCGCTATAAAGTCTTTTCTCTGTTCTAGAGCAAATAAAACAAAATAGAGAGTGGGATAGGAAGAGTTCTTTAGGTCGTAGTATTTGACGTGAAACTCGATTCTTACTTTACTTTCTAAAAAGATTTAACTACTTTATGTTTACGTATCCTCGAATTGCTAAATATTATCTAAAAGTACTACGTATTTATTAATTCATTTCTCTATTATCAGTGAAGGAATAATTTTAAAGTATACTAGTTCCTTACCTTAGGATCAATAGGGGCAATATTTATTAGAGATTATCCTCGCTAAGCACTTGTGTTATCTTATCGTAAGGGGCTAGTGCGACCCAAATAAGGTCAAAACGTGAGTCTGGATATTGAAGCTTGCTAGACTAGCTACTACTCTCCGCGAACCCTTTTATGCTAATAGCTTTTGCGATATCGGAAAGGTTATGATGTTCCTAGTAAATAAGGACATTCCCTCCTCCGCGATACGCTTTTACTACCCGAGCGACGCCTGCAGCGTCGTCTTTCTTAATATCTATGTTGAATTTCACACCGAAATCCTTTAAGTTGTCGGCTAGAGGTTACATAGTTTTATACAGGCGTTCCCTGGAACTACCTAGATAGGTTTGTTAGCTTGATATAATACACAAAACATTCTATTTGCAAAGAGCGAGTGCTACGTAGTAGGTAGAAACCGCTACAAAAGAGAATTAAGGTAGAAGGAGTAGCTTAGACCTTTCTTAGGGTGTTTGGCAATAATATAGCCAATATTAAATCTGCTTTGCTTTCTAAAAATGTTACGAAGGCGCTACGCTCTTGCTTCCCCTTAAGCAGACAGATTATTTGCCCTATTACTTGGCTTTTCTCTATACCTAATTATATAGATATTTAGTGCAGTCTGTATAGGTTTTCAAGAAGGTCAGGAAGACTCTTTAAGATACAGGTATATTATACGGAAATGAACTAACTATCGTAATCTGACTTTCCGAGTAAAAGTTAACTAGTAAAAGGCGATGTTCCAAGCAGAAACACAAGTAGTCGTAGTAACGGGAGTCCTTAATAGATTATTGTATTTTAAGGGGATAGATATATGATGTATATAGAGGTAAATATATGAATTTTGGGTATTAGCTAAGTTTAAAAATTGTCATCTGCGATTAGCCTTCTGCTGTCCTAAAGTTTAATAACATACTGCCCGCTTTCGGAAATAGGCCAAGAACACTTACAATACTCCCAAGAATAGTCTACAAGAGTCGCCCTACCCAAAGATTTTATGTAATAAAGCGTCAAATACATTCAGCTATATAGCAATCATACTTTGATTATTAAATACGTAGAACCAAGGCTTAGAAATCAAGTAATATAGACTAAACCCGTAGTTACGTGTCGGGCAGAACTAAGATAGTATTAATAAAATTTTGGGAGTAGCAGGAGGTCGACATAATTAAGTAATCCTTAAAACGTCCGTTTCGACTGCCTGTTGTCAACTTCAGCTTAGGTAGTATATAGTTATTCCTTTCTATGCTTTTGCTTTATATTCTGTATTAGATAGGTGTAGTTCGTTATCGTCCTCTATAAGGCAACAAATGACATATTGTGGACATCGAAAATCTGTACAAGAGAAGTTGCATTTCAAAAATCTATTCAAAGAGGAACTAAAAATAGAGTTTTTAAATTACTCCTAGAGAGTAGCGTCGGTCTAGCTAAGGAAAGCCGTAATAGCTAAGGCATCAAAGTAATTTAGCACCGACCTAGATTTGTCCTAGGTTGCCTTAGCGAACCTATAGGGTCTAATTGAGTCTAGATTTCTAAGAACTAGGAAAGATACTATAATACTAAGCCCCTAGGTACAGACCGAAGCTTAACTAACTAGCTTAAATAATTACCTAAACAACAGGTAATGTTAACGTTAATAACAAGAGATTTTCTAGAAAGATAAACCTCGGAGAGCGTCCTAACAGCCTCTTTAAAACACTCAATTCAACGGACAACAAACACGTCCTTATATATACTATGTCTAAATCACATCTACTAAATCTACAAAGTGTACCTAATAAGCCTCAAATTTATCTGACCTACGAGGCCGCAACAGCTAACCTACAAAAGAAGTTAATACGCAAGAAGCAACACTAGCGCGCTCAATATCGACTTATCAGTGCTATTTTCAACTTACTTATAATTGCACAAATAATAATCGGTGCTACTATTACCGTATTAGGACCGTCCGGTGGTGAGCATATGTTAGCAATCATAATCTTAGGGGCTTTCAATACCTCTATCGCCGGATTGCTTGCACTGCTTAAAGGGAGAGGGCTTCCGTAGCGACTGAGGAGGAATATAGGCGAATTATCGAAGGTCTTGGACTTCATTCAGGAAAGGGCAACCCTATTAAGATATAGCAGTAGCGCAGTCCTAAATAGCGAAAATTCTCTGCTGCTGCAGGATGCTTTCCAACGATACACAATCGCACAGCAGATTATTGAGAGGAATGAGCCGGATACGTATGCCGACGGAAATGTGTTAGAGGGGAATAGTCTCCTAAGCCCAACGGCTTCGACAACGAGGGGTGGAAGGGGTCGTCAAACGGATGAAGAAGTGGGAACTAGTGGGGAGACCGGGTCGTAACAGAGTCATTCAAGGTTAGTAAACACAGAACCAGATAGATATTGTCTCACACTGACCCTTCATTAGTGCGTTTTCCTACCGAACAGATTCTCGTTGTACGGCCACGCGCAATAGGTGTGCGGCTAATTTGAAGGCAGTGCAATATTATTGTATAGACAAACTCCGTTACGTGCTCTCGGAAACATCAGAGCGGGACACGCGTGTTGGTCCCTATTGTATCATCCCTATGCGTAAGAATGTAAATGTAAAAATCTAACCAAGACAAATACGGGCTAGACACTTGAATTATGTGTCGCGCAAGCGCTCATCATCATCATATATCATTTACCCTGAACCGTCGCCGAAGTTGGTTTACCCAACTAGGCGAAAATACGAATCCGGACCTAGCCTAGTGGGCCGTGGTTTATCATCCAACTGCCGAAGCGACATGCAGGCTACAACTACTGTGTAAACACATGTTTGATCCACGGAGATTGTTCCAAAATTCCGCAGCGGTGAACTTTGAGCCTTACCTGATGAGGCCTGTCGTGGCCGGTTTGCCGTTCGTGGTGTTAGGCTGCCCTTGCGGCGCGGCTATAATGAGATCGTTCGCAGATGAGGCGGCTAACAGTTGTTCGCGGCTGGCTGCATGTCCGTCAAAAATCGCGAAAAAGCTGGCAAAGCTGAAGTCAAGAATCTGAACAATGATTCTGCGGCGGATGCACTTTGTGCATGTCTCTTTTTCTTGTTCTCGAGCTCAAACGGTGACGATATATTGTGAGAACGGCAGCAAAGATCTTGAATTATGTGTGGGTTTCGGGTGGGGAGCGAGCTGGTGAGCGTTGGGTGTCAATCGCGAAGGGGAAGTAGCGGGGTGTTGATGGATAGAGGCATAGGTAGGTTGTTGGCATGAGGTTGGGGAGGTGGTCGTAGGTGTCGACTGGAGAGACTGAGTAGAACATACTGGTAGTGGTGGCTGTAATCCCCGATCGAGTCTGGCGGTCGGCAGGGAAATCAAGATTTACAGGTGGGCATTCGCCTTGTCCAGTAAGGTGCCGCTCCTGGTGCTGTTGACTGGGTTTGCAATGGCACCTTCAGTGGTCCCTTGCTCGAGGAAAGGGAGGGATGGAAGCGGGTTGTCTGGAGCAGGGGCGCGCGGTGGTTGAATGATTGGGTGTGTCGGGCTACGTTAACTAACTAGTGTAGTGGGGGATTCGGTTGCGCTACTTTTTATTGCTGTTGGACGGCGGTTGGAGGAGGGGTTTCGAGGACCGTTCGGATTGGGTGGTTTGCACTGCTTTTGACCAATGACCATTCCGCTTGTGTTAGGGGGTATCCTTCTGGGGGGACCATCCATCTACACACTGGTTCAAGGCACATACGCGAATATGCCCCTAGACGCTAGCAAGTGATAGTCGAAATGAAGGGCCGGGAGGAAAGGGCGCCTTTTTAAAGAAATTTCGGGGACACAGGCTCAATCTAAATTTATCTTTCAGTTTTACTTGGGTTCTACTCTATGCTTTCTCTGCGCACGACCCTGTTCGTACTGTCGCCATGTCGCCGCTCTGGTGAGGTTGGTTGTTTTCTCGTGCCTCGACCTGTCTGGGTTTGATCAGGCCGCCTTGAGCATATCCCCCGTTATACTAGTTAACTAACCTAATCATCCTGTCTCTGTGTTAAGTTACCGCTCCACCTCTTCGACAGCATCTTTCGAACTAGATTCACTTTGGAAGATGGTCATCCTCTACCAGTCAACTTTTCTCGGCAAAGCTAAAGGGAAATATTAGAATTTGGGCATTCTGTGATCGGCAGGATATCATGTCATCGCAAAGTGGACGAAGGTTTTCAAAATACCACTGTACGCCTAAAAGTATCAGCCCGAAGAATGAAACTGCAAAAACACTTGAATTGTAAGATGTCTGGCAATCTGTAACTATAACAGGTTAACATTCAATTAACAAGGACGGTGGGACATAAAGGCCTTTTCGGTATGGGAGAAATAGCAAGCAATTAAATCTTTCAAACCCGGCAACAGTTGGTCTTCCATCGTGATACCCATCAATAGTTCCTCAGCTCGCTGATCAGAATTCCTCCCAAAGACTCCCACCCTCCCCAGCTACCGCCGTCCCACCATTTATGTAAGCAAGAATTTTTGTCCGTCGCAACCCCGAAAAGATCCAGCCGATTAGCACCCCAGGATACAGCGGAAATAGCACTGAAAAATGTAGTATCTCCAAGTTTCTCCCAGCCACCCCACCTGGACCCGTCCCACCACTTATGGTAGCAGGCATTGTCCGTTCCTAGCGCGAAGATATCAAGTCGGTTGGAACTCCAGGCCACTGAACTGAACGAACTGACAAGAACACCACCCAATGATTCCCACCCATTCCAGTCACTGCCATCCCACCATCGGTGATAACAAACGTTATCGGTGCCTCGGGCGAAGAGGTCGATTCGGTCAGAGTTCCAACTGACTGCTGAGATCGGGCTCGTCACCACGCCTCCGAGGGAGGTCCATCCTTCCCATCGGCTGCCGTCCCACCACTTGTGGTAACAGGCATTGTCGGTCCCAAGTGCAAATAAGTTTTCTCTTTTTTTTTAAAAAAAAAAACACAATACAATGACAACCATCTGATCGTTACATGCTCTGGTGGGTGTCAAGTAAATCCAGTAGCACGTTTTGCACGTACACCGTTAGTCACCCGGGGAGACCAACCCCATCTAAAGGCAGATGGCCATGGATGAAATTAGTATATGAATCAAGCAGCAGCTACCTGTGCCGCCTTGACTGTTGCCAGCAAAGCTAATCGTGGTCCCACCCCTATCACTTGAGCCGTGATCATCCGATCGCACTACCGGAGGATACGTATAGATGTTATAACGACGGTAGGACGGAACGGCACGACTATGTAACGAGTGGCGATGAATTGTATAGTGTACCAAAATTGGCGGCTGTAACTAATCACAGGACCAATACAGTCACCTATCTAATCCTCAAAATAAGATGAGATATCTTACACTGTCTGTACCAACTGATACCGACCGACCAATGATGTACGAACATGCAGTAGCTGATGACGACGATACCTTGGATGGCGGGACGAACGATGATTAAAGTTAAGCTCTCGGATGATCGACAAGCGCTATGTGACGTGATGATCTATGGCGGCACCACACGACTCGAGGCGGCGTGCAAGGTTCTAGATTGTCGGAGCCACCAAGCCAGCCCCTGCGGGATAGAACATAATAAAGGATTAGAATTAAAATGCATTTCGAGTTTAAGATTAAGCAAAGGTAAATCTGAAGATAGTCTGAAATTCTTTCCGTGGGTCGCGTGCTGTGTGGCTGCGGTCGTCTCTCAGGAGCTCACACGTGAGCGACGTAGGCCGTTCTCGGCTTTTCACCTCCCGCCTGCTCCCGAACTGACTTAAAATTGATGCGTCTGTCGTTATTTGTTCCTTATCAATTGGTTTATTCTTCCAGATGAAGTGGTCCGTATCATGATTACTTGAATAATCCAGTATTGTCTCTATCCTCAGTTATAATATGGCATTCGATCTGCTTGAGCGTCGCACAGTGAAATTTATGCTCTGGATACCTTCAGAAACAGCATTAAAGCCCCCTTCATTAGTGCTAGGCACTTTCAACTCCGGTCCGCCGGCTACTTTCCATACCATCTTTAGTGGCCAGCTAAGGAGCTCAGACAGACATGATCTCTGGGAGCTCGACCCAAATGACATAAAACCGTCGCTAACGAATGATACCGTCTATCACTACTGGTTCGAGATCCAAGATTCATCCCCAGAAAATCTGGGTGCCATTCAAGTTACCGACCCAATTGCGTACACGGTCGATTACAGAGACACGAAAAGCCGGGGTGAACACGTCCAGCCAGCTTCTGTGATCAAGTTTCGCAATGGCAAACTATGGCCCTGTGATATTAATGGAAACGAGCCGAGCCAGGTGGCAATCCCGCCACATAATTCCATGCCAGAAAATAATCATATGGTGATTTATGAGCTCCCCGCTTCGTGGGCAAAATATAAACAAATCGGGGGTGTGCAAGTTGATGTCGGCACGTTCACAGACGTCCTCGCTCTGTTCGACTTGAAGACTGCTGGTGATCGTTTCAGGGATATCCCAAACATTGCCAATGAAGCTCTTGTGGCCGACCTGGGCATCAACGCGCTGGAGCTACTCCCCGCAGCAGACGCAAAACCAACGGGTGAATGGGGATATGCTACGGCTCACTACTACGCTTCCGACTTCGATCTTGGAACTTCATCAGCGTTGGTGAAGTTAGTGGAGAATATCCACTCCAAGGGCATCCGGTTTTTCACAGATGTTGTGATGGCCTTTGGGCATGACCCATATATCTTCGTTGCTTTCAAGGAGTTTCATATTATCCCGGAGAACGAGATAGGCAATCGGGATAGCTACCAATCTCGCTCCAATAGTCTGCGAGAGGGGTGGGGTGGACGACTATGGCGCTATATCAGAGACACGGATACGTATGACCCAAAATCAGGCAGACCCGGAAATATCCATCCTTCCTGGGCCTTCCATCATGGTCATCTTCATCGATGGATGTCGGACTTCGGTGTAGACGGTCTCCGGCTCGACAGCGTAAACAACGTTGCCAATTGGGATTTCATTGAATCGTATAAGAATGAAGCATGGTCTCTATACAGGTCAAGATACGACGCGGCATCTCCCTCAAAGTTCCTCGTCATTGGGGAAGAACTCAGCGTTCCTGTCGACATGGTAACTAGCGGAACGGTCAATACCCTCTGGAACGAGCCATTCCAAGGGCGTCTCCGCGCCGCCATACTTGGAGAACCCACAGATGGTGACAACTTCGAATGGACGGTCCGTAAAATGGTCAACTGTACGCTTGACCTTTCTCACCCTTTACGGATGGAGCACAAGCGATAAACTACGTCACTTCCCACGACACTGAAGGGTTCAGGAAAGAGCGGCTTTTCGACTTTCTTTCTGCCAGTAAGGTAAGTGATATCGAGAGACGAAGTAAACTCGCATTCACGTGTCTCTTGACGGCCGTCGGTATTCCGATGATTTTTGCAGGCGAGGAATTTTGTGATCAGATGGATCGTCCTGTTGGGCAGAAACAAGTTGATCCAGTGAACTATGAGCGAAAGGCAGAGGATTGGAGGACTCGGACCTTCAACTATGTTGCGAAACTCGTGAAATTAAGAAAGGGCTGCCCGGCTCTAGGGGTGGATGATACAGATTTTATTCATGTGGATGAGAGCCGTGAGGGAAAGATCATGGCGTGGAAGAGGGGAGAACAGGGCCAGGCGCCAGTTGTTGTGGTAGCTAATTTCACGGATCATGACACCTCCGGGGAAGAGTATTTTGTGGAAAATTGGCCGGAGAGGGAGAGGGAGGACTGGAGAGAAGTCACGCAGGGGAGGAAGGTGCCGATGGAGTGGGTAGGGCGAGAGCCGCTGATGCATTGGGAAGCAAAAGTTTATACGTACTGGAGTGGGTAACTACAGGGTATGTTGTAATTACTAACGCTGGAGGATGGCTACAAAATGGCAATATGGTTCATCATCTCGTATGTGGAACATGGTAATAAGCACATATCTTGATAACTATAACATTTTGCTTTCCTCTTTCCTTAGTCTTACAGGTCAATCGCAAAGGAGATCAATTCGGCACCGAGGACGAACGTACCAAAACTAGTGAGAGAAAGGTAGGAGGGATCAGGATCTCGGGGGGATTTCTGCTGAAGCGCCGCCCACGATTGCAATGTTTGTTTCCATGCCAAACGTCATCTTGCATCAAGCCACCCATCAATATTGCTTTCAAGAGGCTACGGAGGAATACCGCGTGGAACCGTAACAACTGTCACCACTGGGGACGCTGAAACTACCTGCGAGTCCTGGAGTCCACTTTCGCGATAGGCCGCGTACATTTCCGGTTACGGCATTTTTGGCCAGTCGATCTGCCGCGTCGTTCCCCTCATTGTCACAGTACCCCGACAGGCGGAGCCCGATCTCCCCGGCTTGAATCTCTGCCGCTGTCTGGAGGATTTCGCAGATGATTGGTTGTCCCGATTTGTTTTACGGTGTGCCATAGTTTGCTCCATGCAGTTTAGCTGCCGTCTGGCACTTCGAACAATCACAGGAAGGTGCGGAGTGAACTCTTTGGCGGTTTGTTGTCCCTATGCCCAAGTACTGAGGGTCCAAAATGTCGATTAAATCCAGGAGAGAATGCTGCAAACGGCGCAATCGATTTGCACATAGATGCTGACCGGGGGCAAGGGTAGATCTTTCGTTCACAAGTGCTGTAATTCCTTCCATGATAGGGTTGAACCACTCCTTGAAAGCACCATCTGCACTCCTGAAATTTTGGATAAATTGTGAATATGGTGAGCAAAATAGCTCTCCGTCGTCAGAGACAGTCATGATCTCCCCAATAGCCAATTGTTGACCGCGCCATACCATGAAGTCGTTTCCATACTTATCGGTACTGAACGACTTCTGAACGGCTTCGATGGTACGTAGAAATTCGCGGTTGTGCTGGTCCGTTGAGAAACGAAGGAATTGCACTTGCCGACGAAGAATGTATATCCAAGAGAAAAACTGACCAACCAAAAAGGCAGTGTAGACATCAACTAAGTCCCGCCGAGCCTCATCCTCGAAGTAGTAAAGAAAATCTTGCTCTAAAATGTTGTAGAGCCTTGATTGCAATTCCACCGATGCCAACAAAAGGGGATCACGGTATTTTGCGACTAATTTTTCCGACTCAGAGAGCCGTTTAACCCGGTCACTATGGAGTGTGACTAGGGCTGTGATGCCTGCTGAAATGGCTGAGCCTATTAGAGAAATCACTGCAATTACTATCGCCGCGATGTCAGCCATAACGTGTTCGTTTTATTATATGTGAAGGAGTGAATGCTGAATGTATCTAAGCACTGAACGGCCGCTGCTACAAAGCGACCAATTTTATTTCCAGACAAAATTGTGAAGCTTTAGAATGGATGGTGCTGCATATTAATATAGTACACCCCCTTCCCCCCCCTCCCCTACTCCTAACCTACAGATAGTTCTAGACTGCGCGAATCTCGTGAGTCATGTAGAACTCTGTTACTGCCATGGAGCTTGAATGCTAGCTACCATGGATCATAGAGCACAAGCCCCACACCGTGCTAAATATTCAGGCTTATTGTATTAGAGCTGCAAGTGTAGTGATCACCCTGAAGACGCATACCATGAAAAGAGCCTCAAGGAAATTTAGATTATGCTGTTACCTCTCTTGGTGACCATACGGATTTACGATGCGCCCTACATGATAATACCTATCGCGGAATAATGTCAGATTGGGTCTCCATCCCCCTGTGCACGTCGCAGAACTGCTTAGTTTTCCACCTTCCGCTCCTTGGATCGGTTCAACGCACGTAAAGACCCACTGTTCTGTTGCGCGTCGCGTACCCCATTAGCCGTTCTCCTGATCGATGCACACGCCTTCCCTGGAGATTATATGACGTTGATTATCTCCTGTACAGAGCACCCCCGTTTGCGTTTGACCCTGGATTCGTCTGGTGGAGATTCGTTGCACTTCAGCCCTCAATCCCAGTTGTTGGCGATGGCAAGTCCATCGACGATGTGTTTGAAGCATGTAGCCTCATTTGGGAGCAGTCGCAAAATCTCACCCTTTCCCAGCGGTGCCGCTGTGCAATATGCCCATGAGGTTCGCAGATAACTGACCACCTGCACAGTAAGCACGTTGCCCCTTTCCACAAAAGCCTCACCACCCGTCTGCGAGACCACGAAGTTCGTTTCCAGGAACCGGCAGGTTTTTCTCCTAGACCGGACGACTTCCCGTCCGACGCTCGTCTGCAGCTCCTCGCTGGGTATGCATGCCGTCGATGCCCTTTACGCACGGTCAGCCTGGACCTTATCCGCCGCTACTTGTCCCAGGAGCATCTCCAGCAGCAGCGAGCCTCCTCCAATCGGGCCAATGGCCTCTTATGACGATGTCTCTACCTGTAGACTTGCTCGCAGAACTCGTCCCGACTATATTGAACGGTGATTCACCGAGGTCTGGCATCGCATCTATGGCACAAAGGGTGGCCGCGAGAGCGGGCGCGGCTCAGGCAGAGGAGGCCACCCTGGCCGTGGATGGAACGCCCCCGCTCGGCCTCGGGTCACGAATGGGTGCGACGGGACCTATTCTGGAGCCTAACGGAGCTTCCCTACTCGACCGCAGGTTCTGTGGACATGCATCTGCTGCCTCTGCAGGCCGGAGGCGATCCCATCGTCAGCCTCCGCACTCTATGAGAGACGTCTGTACCGGCTGATGCTCACCATGGATTGTGTGCTTGATCGGTGTGAAGAGACTCTCCCTCAGCGCAGGCTTAGGGGTCTAGGCTTCACACCATTCATCTTTCATATAAGTAGGGTCAAACTTGGGAGGCTCGACCAGGAGTGGTCTCTTGGGAAATCGGACGTACCAGAGCCACCGTTGCCTGCGCAGGATTCGGGACAGTTCGACAGCCTCCAAAAATATTGCACATAAGTCATCTTCGAGATATTGAAGCTTGGCAGGTTGCGCCCATGCTTCGACAAGGATCATGACATCCTGAACACTAGTATTGATTCGCTCGATCGACCCCTCTGCGAGCCTCGCGTCCGTATTCGTCTTAGATAACAGGCCTACCGTGAAGGCTCTCCAGTCGCTGAAAGCCCGTGGGCTCATCTGTCTTGGGTCTACGTAGAATCAGTCCGTATGTTCTCAATTTCCTCTCAGTAGGATGGAACGATGTAAAAGAGACAGGTAAACTAACCTGCACAGAATAGTTTCATCTCTAACGCATCTAGACTCTTCCGTTCCACTCCTCGAAGCCAAAGATCGAGACTCTCTGGGGGTGGAGGTGTCTCGCTGGACTGTGTCGCAACTGGGAAACTCCGGAATATTCAGCTACTGATTATGTAGGACGTCCAGCCCCTCACGAAAATCGTCGAATCTTCCGATTGCGAACCAACCGCTCGAGATGCTGTGTCACTTGGCATGATGGCGCAATATCCAAATAGGCCGAAAACCACTTCTTATGGAACACGGGGTCCTCCTTCTGTCTCATGAAGCTCACAGACCATGTTTTGATTGAACTGTTTAGAGCCTCGGACCTTGTCTGGATGTCCTGATCTGAGGCCTGGGATTCAAGGAACAGTTCTTTATTGTCCATTAATTTCTGCATTTCACTTGCGGAATGCTTTATCCTCTTGTTATTGTCGAGTGCCATTTGGAGCTGTTCCTGAAGATTTCGAATCTCATGTTCACGCTTTTTCGATAGGGCTTGGGTCATTTTGCATTTAGTCCCCTCAATACTGAAGTCATTTGGGTACCCCTCTCTATCACGCTCGTTTGTGTGCCGATCGTTACGGAAGCTCCGGGAATCATCCCTGTCCAAGAATCCTTTCAACATGCCCCGGCCGAATTAGTCCCTACAGGAGATTTCATCGACCGGAATACTAAAGACTAGCCTTCACTCCCCCTTCCGTGATAGATGATCTTGCCTCTTGTTCACAGCAGGCCTGTGAATTATGATGATTCCCTCTGTATGTAGGCCCTGATGCAAACGTCTTGGTTGGTTGAACTTTATACACCATTTCTTGACAAGTCGCAGCTCTCAAACGATCCAGACCGAATTGTCTGTTCTCCGGATAAGTTGATCTCCCACTGCGACACTCTTCTCGAGATTCGATACCCACTGGAGGCGGGAGTTTCTAGCTTGCGATGCGCATCTGCTTGTTTTCCTCCTTGAGGACAAACTGTCAGCAGGGAGCTTCTGGTCTTGGTTCGGATTTGGAAGTTCTCTCTGGGACATTAGGAGGTCACCACCAGGTAGTTCCTGTCCCTGATCATTCGAAGCCACAATGTGTGCTGCCCTTATTCCTGCAATGGAGGACGTTGCTGGTGATACTACTGCCGCCCCAACCGCCGCTTCCCTTCCCGTGATTGATCGTAGTGGGGGACTCATCAAGAGTGACTCAGAACTACGCTTGTGTCTCCTTGCTGCTGCTTGATATTTGGATGTTGAACATAACATGGCCCCTTGAGACCTTCTTTAGCAGTTTTTTTTCCCCTTCTATATGGACCAAAACCCCGTCCATGGGTCGCCTCACCTCTCGGGGGCGTGACGGAGATACATCGTTGTCGCGAGCGATACGAAAGCGGCAACAGAGCGTTCTGGCCGCTGGTTGCTACTCTCATTCTTCGCGCATGGTTGCGTAATAAGTATTCTATGGCTTTCTCGCTACTAATATATGGCCAGTTCAAGTCTGGACTACCAGTAAACGCTGACGTAGTCCATGTTGGTTTGCCACTGGATGCGTCGAATTAAATATAATCCTAGATAGCCTATGACTCGGCCATATGCCACCTTGGCATATCATATGCGTAGAACATATTGTTGCCTGACTAGATACATCGGAGATGATAAGATACGCGCGATAACCGTGGTCACCAATACGGGTCTACGCGTAGGTTTCGGAACGAGATATCGCAGCTGGTACTAATGATCATACCACACTGTGTCGTGTAATGTACGATATGAAGAGACAAGTCTGTGCTAGGAGCAAACACAACGGACATGGAAGGACCTGGGGGTGAATGGTGTAGTTGGTCGGGTCAGACCTATTAACGCTCTGCGTGGTAGCAAACCGAGCCACAAATTCAGATGCAAATCGATGGTGCCAAAGATAGCGAGCGATACCACAAATGCGGCCGTGAAAGGCTTTGTTAGAAGGTCAAAGGAGATTCTCGTACTCCTATAGAATTACGTAAAAGAAAGCTTTATGAGGTCATTTGTATCCATGCGAAGGTTGTCAATCGAGGCGAACGTCTTGAGAAATATAAGTGTCTACCTAATAATGCCGTCAGCTTCACCACGAACCACGATCACTGGTAGTAAGAGATAGTGAAATGGGACGCATACACTTATCTAACTCGCGTGTATCGCTCTGACTGAAGTTCTATTATCACGACTCACCTTGGGTTGAATGGAAACAAGCGGGAGGTCAGAGAGGACCTTTTCCTCGTGATCTGCTGCTGTACACTCTTCTCTTCGATGTTGCCATTAATGTACATGCCCGCTGCTGTCTCGCCGAGCTGCTTACCCTCACGGACCAACTCCCCTTGTAGCTCTAGTACCACTGTCTCCTTCATTAAGAGCTGGCTGACCAAGCTGACGGCTGAATTGTGGTCGCCGTGAAACCGGCTCAGGTGAGAGCCGCGCCTTAGCATGTACGCCCAGAAGCGGTCTCTGAGGGCGCGCTCACGTTCAGCCCCGATGGATTCAGAGACCTCATTCCACCGCGACGTGACTAAAAGCGCATTGTGAAGAGCCCGCTCGCCACATATGTTCTTGAAGATCTCAAACGTCGTTACCGAAGACCGGCTGTAGCGGACATCTGTGATGGAGTGGATGTAGATGATGCCCTTGAGTTCCACCCCGAGCTGGTATTGCGCCGACAGAATCTGAGCAATCTCGGTCAATATTTCCGAGTCCGTCCTTTGTGCATCGCCAAAGTCGGGTGTGTTGAGAAGGAGAACTTTGCTCCTCCCGACGTGAACTGGGACCAGCTGGCATTCTTGAGGGCCTGCGCGTGCCTTCTCAGTTAGTCGTATTATTTCGCGCCCGGTATCTGCGGTTGTGTACCAACACGGGTCGAGACTATGCCCTTCCTGGACCACTTCCCTTCCGGCCAGACAATTGATAAAGTAGCTTTTATCAGATCCAGTAGCCCCCATCACCACGATCATGCTAAGATTCTCTCGGTGTGCGCATGTGGCCATGATGTTTTCAGTGTAAGTAGTTCTTGCACCGGGTCATATACAGTCGATAAATTGATAGATGTGGATAAGTAAATTGAGTAAAGAATACGGAGACACAAAGACACGCCCCATACTGTTATATGGCCGTAATTTCCACTATAATTCTCCTGAGTGCTTTTAGCGGCCCAACCCACCCAGAACTCCATCACCCTTCTGAGGTCTAGACCCTTTCGTTCGTTTTGAAGAAGGGTGGCAAATTTATTCAAGGATGTTTGAGCCCTTTGAGCCATGTTCTCCATGCCGAAAACCACAACGGCCATGATTGGTTCCCTCATTGAGTGCTGGCGACAAACTTTACATCCCCTCTTGCCTCCTTCCTTTCCTCTCCTTTTCTCCTCAAGCAAGCTAGCTTTGGCGGACAGGCTCCTATCATGCGAAGTCGCTAACGGTGCCGAGGTAAACCACTGTTTAGTCGCGTCAATGAACGTTACCAACCGCATGTCTACACACAACGCAGCGTGATTACTGAGAACGCTTTCAAGGTCTCGAGGTTCGCTGGACGGGATGGGGCGTCGACAATCCCTATAGACTGTAATGGCGGGACAGGTCCTTGCGGTCAGCCGGACTCTTTACTATGGGGTGCACGGACAAAAAGTGTGAAATGGTCGACCATTTCCGAAGAGACTAGTACAGTAGGCGTGATAGGTTACGCTTCATCGTATCACACGAACCCGGCATAAGAAATCGGCAACCTCGTCCGTGGGGCTAGATCCTTCTTTTATATGCGGAGCAAAAGGGGGGAAGGCACGTGCGGGGAGAAAAGGCCACAAATTTGGGCATGTTTTCCACCTGAGTCAGTGTGGGCTTGCCCCCTGGGGGCATGCCGTTTCATGATTCATGATCTATGGATCCACAGCAACACGAGTAACTCTTACGCTAACTCTATAAAATTAAGAAAACACACTAAAGAGCAAAAAGGGTTGCCCCAGGGGGCAAGTGGTTTGATTTTTTTTCGATCGATTGATCAGCGATTATTTCTTTCTCTGGGCCACGTTCAACGACCTAGTCGACTTTAATATACGACGGGGGAAATTCGTTTGAACAAGAAATATAAGAAGGCATTACAGGCAGGCTGGGATGATAAAATCGACGGGTTTGGTGCAAATTAAACATACTATGAAGGAAGCGGAGATGTGACGGTGACTGGACAGAAATGTATATGTCGAAGCAATGGGTCAACCGCCATGGACGGGAGTATGACGACCGAGCAAATATTTTAATTATATAGGTTTAAACCCAAGCACAGCGAACCTGAAAAATAAATTGAGTTTACAAAACAAAACTAAAAACATATATACAGCACAGCGAATCAAGATATTCCGAAAACCACCAGCCACTTTAGAACCTGCAGAGCTCTCTCCCTATCAACAACTCAGGGAGAAAATAAGTTTCGGGGTCTCTAACGTGCTAAGGGCCACCTAGCTAGCGGTGGACAAAACGGGGGAAGAATCTAGAAAAGGTTCCGTTAACGGTTCAGTGAGGAAGGAAGGAATACTAGCAAAGTGAACAATCGATCTAGCGCCGGAGTTCGATTAGGTAGATACGAGTATACTACGAGCGTGAGGATTTGGATCGATCCCCAAATACCTATATCGACCCTAGAAAGACTACTAACTAGTCTACTATAGTCTCCTAGCCTACGCTAGTCTACTGTTTCTAGTCGGCGCGACTCCCTAGGACGACTGTAGTTCGGCCTAAGCGGATTTATAAGACGCTACTATATAAGGAGCCTATCTAATAGATTCTTCGCTCGATACGTTGCCTCTAGGGGGCAAGACCGTATCTACACACGCCTTACACGGCCGCCCGTACCCCCCGGGGGTATAAGGCCTCGACTACTATCGTCGGGTCCGTGCTCGGCTCGGGGTCGTGTAGTGCGGGACCGTACGACTACCGCGACGGGAGACCTATACCCCTAGGGGGCACGCTATCCTAACCCTGACCCTACCGCCTCTATACTTAAACTCGCCGCTAATTTATCGGTTTAGCGGATAATATCTACTACCTGCTCTATAATATATTTGCTAATCCGGTACTTACCCTTAATGTTCGTTAAATAGCGGACTATCTCTCTAGGCTTTACGCTACGCTCGTACTAGTAATAAATAGTAACTCCCTACTACTAGTTATATATAAAAAACTAGTCGGTAATAGTAGGTTCTCCGGATTTACTTATACTAAACGTAGATATATATTTAATAATACTAAATATCTACTAAATATAGAGTAGGAAAACCTTATTGCTAGGAACTACTTAGTTGTTAATAAAAGTAAAACTAGGAATTTATCCTAACCCCTAAAATACCTAGCAGGATTCCTAAACAAATCGAACTAATAATACGTATATAATAAATCGCGTCGTGATAGGTAATAGGTTTTATAATATAAAATATAGATCTCTAAATATACTAAGTCTAACCTTTCTAGCTAACTATTTTGTAGAGAAACTAGTACCTGCTATATATATATACGTGATCCTACTAAGCGTAGAAACTAAACTAATTTTAATAATATTAAGTTCAAAACTATTACAGGCGTGAGTCTACCGAATTATTATCACTAAAGTCGATAGTGATATACCTCCGTACTCGTTACTACCTAGTTACCTTTTCGATGTCTCTAAGGTAACTATAACGACGTTTCCGGGAGTAGGGCTCTTCGAATCTAAGGAACCTATACTACTCCTAGCTAATTATCCGAAAGCGTATACACTTCGATTCGATAACCCCTAGAGCCTCTCGTAAGCCACGCGTATAAACGGTACCCGCTATCTATAATCTATACGCGGCCTATTTATTAACTACTAGGTTATCGGCCCCGTAGTCTCGCTTAAACCTACTATAGCGAAGATATAGCCGTGATATACCGATCGTAGTATAACGCTAAGAAAGCACGTTAAGTTTAGTATTTAGGTATACCTCTCCCTCTTGCTTTAAAAGTATACTAAGCCGTGTAGCGTCCTAGTAGTTTCTTCCCTAAGGCTAGAAAAATAGCGATCGGACGCGATACCTACTTCTAATAGCGAGTATCTAAGCCGCCTCGGTAAAAGGCTATATTAACTATAAATAGTATACTATAAGCTTGCTAATCTCCCTTAGTAGGTATCGGTGGATAATTTTAATCGAGTTCGAAACGCTTTAGGACTTATAGTAGCTAGTAATAATACTAACGAGCCTATACTTAATAAGGAGATTACGGTATCGCCCCTCGGGAGTATTACTATATCTAATAGAAATAAGCTCCGTTATACGTATAGGCTGTCTACTCGTTATATAGATCAGGACTAAAAGCCGTCCGAGGAATTAATCTACCTATTACTAGTATACTACTATATATAACTCCCTCTAGTATATAGAAGAGTTAGCCTGTTAAACTTCGATAAATTCCTACCGGAGGGACTCGCTAGCTAAGATATAGTCTAATATCTAACGCTCGCTACTAATAGGGAGGACTACGCGGTTCTACTTATCCTTTAGGAAATTCTAACTATACTAGTTATTTACTAGATCGTTAGTTAGTTAGTACAGGTATAGTTCGGGCACGATATCGGCTCGGCTTTTATCTTTATCTAGTAAGAAAAGCCTCTTAAGCTTATACTACGCTAGTTTAGCCTACGTACGTATAAATTACTAAAGTCTATTGTCAACATATCAACATATGTGTGTGCATAAGCCCTCGATTATTAATGTGGCGCGCATGTATCAGCCTGTAGATCAATTATTGATGTTGATCATCAATATCAACATCAGATAAAAAAGCAACGAGAATCCCCAATACTCTCGTATTTTCCTTCTATTATTTCGGGTATTCTTCGAACTTCTCTTGTGATCTTTTAATGTGTACCTTATGTTATAAATACTGCCTAATTCTCTAGTAAAAAAGAACAAGTTTGACATCTTTCATATTTATGACTAGAGCTTCTAGGCCTACCTGACTATACTGCGTTGACCTGCCACTGCTTAACCTTTCTGTCTAAAACTGCCGCTCTTCGCTCTCTCGTGGATAGTCTCTCTTCCACAATCGTAGATCTATGATTAGATCGTACGACCTTTCGATCCCCGACCGTGCACGAACGATTCGTGTACACACTAGGATTTATGCGCACTGTATAAATCCGATAGTTATAAGCCCGATCGCTGTAGCCTTTTGCTAAAGCTTCTGAACTTATCTTCGACTTATTTATCTCTTACTTTCGTCTCATAAGTGATGGATTCGACCGACCTGTGAGCTATATAGCTCAATTACCCTCTGAAATGCTACGCGCACTGGATCCCCTGGATCACTGCTGTGGAAGACTATGCACTAGCTAATAGTATATAGAAATACGCTAATCCCGACTAACAACCTGCTATTCCACCGCAGGAGCCAATCAAACCACAGATATCCGACGTGGTTAAAAGACTATCTAACACGTTTATTACCCTAGACCAAGCTACACGACTTATTAATCTTATATCTGACTAACTATCAATCTATAAGATCTTGCTCAGCGAATACGAATTATCAAGATCTGATTACCGATAATATATGCGTTTAATTGAATCTCTCAAATAAGGCATACGATCCTCTCTTATACTAGAAGGGAGACAGATTATCAACGGCCTACTAGCACGCGAAGCTATTATTAAACTTCGTGCTACATTCGCGCTATCCGACTAATCGAAAAATCGTCAAATCCTACGCGATTAGGATACGATTAAACGACAGACACCACTAACGAAATCCTCTCATCTAGCTATATAGGGACAGAAATGGATTATCTGCCAATCAGAGGGAGAACAAGCCAAAATCTCTCACTTCCAAGACCCTCTATCTCTAGTATACGATTTCCTGGAGACGATTCAGCTATGCGATCAAAGCTTCTATACTTTCTGGTACAACACGATCCTACAGGGCTTAAAGAAGCCTACCCTGACTAATCTAGTTAATCTGTTCGTTGACTAATATCGACCAATCATATC